TCTATCTATCTATCTATCTATCTATCTATCTATCTATCTATCTATCTGTATCTATCTATCCATCCATCTACCTACCTACCTACCTACCTACCTACCTACCCATCATCTATCTGTATCTATCTATCCATCCATCCATCCACCCACCCACTCACCTACCTACCTACCTACCTACCTACCTACCTATCTATCATTCCTTCTACACATCAAGCCAGTAAATCTGAACTTCAAATCCACAAGGGACTGCCTTTATATCTTAAATCAGAATCTATTACAACTGCAGTTCCTCAAGATCTCAGAGGTTGTTTTATTTCTGCAAAACATGTTCCAGTGGTAATAACAGAATAAAATCAGGTGTTTGGTCCAAGAAACAGAAGAGTTGGGTGGTATTTTTTTTCCCTCTCCTGTCATCACTCAGTCCCTGTGAGCCACTATAATGAAACAGGAAATCATTAGTCCAGATTATTGGAAAAGTTAGTTTGTCTCTTTGTCTTAGCGTTAAAGAGCTGACTTTGATCTCACTGGTGATGCTGTAATCTTATCAGTTGAGGCTAATATAAGTAACTTATGTTTTCTTGAACAAGAAACTGATGTTGTTTTCTCCTAAGTATAAGACTATATTCTAGTTTTATGTCAGTGAAGTTGCTGCTGACTAATCATCACCATCATCATCACCAATAAAATTTATATGCTGCCTAACTATTAGCAACTCTAGGCAGTTTACAAATTTTTTAAAACATTTAAAAACAAATGACAATACAAGGATTCAAAAGAAACAAACCTATTGGATTTCATAGATACATATTGTACAAAGTCCCAAAGGAGGGAAAAAATCTTAAAAGGACATATCAGACAAAGTTTGATTAAAGTATAGAATTCCACAAATGGAATAATAAGTCCAGCAATTTCCCCTGTAGCTTCTCCTTCAATTATTTTTCATGCTGGAGATAATTACAGCAAAAAATGTAATTATACACAATATGCAGATATTATGAGTAATGTTTTCCAATTTGTGAGTAAATTACAAACACAACTACTACTTAGTAAAAGCTATATAATATATGTATAACAATAAAATCAGATCTCAAAAAGGAAGGAGGGATATTAAGGAAAAAACAGAATCGGTAACTCCCATACAAAATCAACAGCACTTATTAGGATGTATATTAGGACTTCTAAACTCAGATTCAGAGACAGAACAAAAAAAAAAAGCTATATGACAAAATGGATGTAGAATTTCTAAAAAGCAATTACTATACAATAATGAGAAGAAATATAGGCTAAATGTATACATTTTACATCAATTTATAACTTAAAAGGAAAACTGGTTTTATAGATGATACATAACTCCATCAATAAAACCTATGATAGACAAATCATTCAATAATAAATGCTGAAAATGCCGTTTTACAGAAGGAACATTTTATCACATATGATGGACATGTAAACCTGAAAGTGTTGATATGATATGCAAAGTATAATTTTGGAATTTAAATTTGAAATGAAACAGAACTGTTCTTATAAGGCATAATTTCAGAAAGCTAACAAGAAATATAATAATTTAATGTTATTTGCTTATATCAGCAGGAATAAACTTTGTTCAATATTGGATAAAAAACATAATCCTGACAATATCTGACTGGGAACTTAAACTTGGGGGAACTTCTGGGGAATATGGCAGACTGAAGATGTCTCCACAAAAGGCGGTCACCATTTCCAAATATCAGCTCCTTCAACCCTCTCTGAATGAAGAGGACACAAGATTGCCCAAGCAGTTCTCCTTACAGCTGCCCCTTGTGAGGAGACCTGAAGGCAACAGTCTTCAGAAGATGAGAGCACCACAACTGCTTCAGTCTCCAACAGGCCTTTTTCAAAGACACTAAATTCACACTTCACTCCCTAACCACGTTTGGAAATTGCCTATTAACTGCTTCCAAGAAGTTAAACACTTTCAAAGTGACAAAATTGTAAACACCTGCCAAGTGCCTTCAATTCTTAACATCAGAAACTGAAGGTGTATCTTTATAATTTTTAAGGATTTAAAATAAACAGTGAAAAACACCACATGGTTTTGGCTAAAGAAAGTTTTAAATGGGATAGGGGCTCAGAGAAGTTGGACTATTGGATTTTGAATGTGAAGTCTTTGAAATGTTGCTTTTGATATTGGAGACCTAACAAGACAAATAACTTGTAATTATGTTCAGAGAAGGAACTGGACTGGATCAATTATGTCAGCTATGTTGTGTCTTCTTGGGAACAGTCTGTTCCCAGAAGTTAAAGAAAAATATGCAACAAAATCAACATGAATGAGAATGTCAATTTGTTATCAGCTGTTAAAAAAATGGATGAGACTTTAAAAATTAAGAAGGAATTTTTTAAAAAAACCTGACAATCCCAGAGACCAGTTGGAACAATATGTTTTGGATGGATTTACAAAAGAGGCTGTTTAAAACATTGAAGACCAGAATCAATAACCATAGGAATGGATTAAGAACAAGATTGTTTTGTGTAAAAAGAAAGACCACAAGTCAGTTTTTTTCACCAGGATTAAAATGGGACATGTTGCTATTTTAGCCAGTTCTTTTTGGGATTTCTGATCTGGATAGGAAAAATTTTATTGGATTTGCTTACATTTAATAATGGTGTTAAATGTATCCTAACTGAACAGCCTTTAAAACTGGCTCTATATTTTTTTTAGTTAACATAAAGGGTTTTTGTGAATATACTCTTTTTAAAATTCTCCCTCTTTGTTATGTTTAATTTAGTCTATTGTTTATTGTAGAATTTTGGAATTACTTGATATTTGCCAAATGTGGTTTTCTTCATTTGTTCAGAAGAATAACCAAAACTGTCTCAAAAATAAATTCTGGCCTGAAACATGACTGAAATGGGTCCAGATATGCCAGGGTTCTCATCAGCTGCAGACCAAGTACTTTTTTTAACAACCAGAAATGGAAGATTGGAGACTGCTTGATCAATATCAGAGACTGCTGGGTCGAGAGAGGCCCCTGAGGAGGAAATGCATTTTTTCAAGCTTTTTCAGCTTTTAACTATAAACCACAATCCTGTATTTCAGCACTGATGGCTAATGTCAATCTGCTCTGAGAAGATGTGGGAGCAAGCTACAGGTGAAACTTGAAAAATTAGAATATTGTGCAAGAGTTCATTTATTTCAGGAATGCAACTTAAAAGGTGAACCTAATATATAAGATAGACTCATTACATGCAAAGCAAGATGGTACAAGCTGTGATGTGGCATAATTGAAATGATTAGGGCTTACAGCTCATGAAAACCCCAAATCCACAATCTCAGAAATTTAGAATATTGTGAAAAGGTTCAATATTCTAGGCTCAAAGTGTCCCACTCTAAGCAGCTAATTAAGCCATAAGACCTGCAAAGGGTTCCTGAGCCTTTAAATGGTCTCTCAGTCTGGTTCAGTAGGAATCACAATCATGGGAAAGACTGCTGACCTGACAGTTGTGCAGAAAACCATCATTGACACCCTCCATAAGGAGGGAAAGCCTCAAAAGGTAATTGCAAAAGAAGTTGGATGTTCCCAAAGTGCTGTATCAAAGCACATTAATAGAAAGTTATGCGGAAAGGAAAAGTGTGGAAGAAAAAGGTGCACAAGCAGCAGGGATGACTGCAGCCTGGAGAGGATTGTCAGGAAAAGGCCATTCAAAAGTGTTGGGGACTTTCACAAGGAGTGGACTGAGGCTGGAGTCAGTGCATCAAGAGCCACTACACACAGACAGATCCTGGACATGGGTTTCAAATGTCGTATTCCTCTTGTAGAGCTGCTCCTGAACAACAAACGTCAGAAGCATCTTACCTGGGCTAAAGAAAAACAGACCTCTTTTCTGATGAGAGCAACTTTTGCATCTCATTTGGAAACCAAGGACCCAGAGTCTGGAGGAAGAATGGAGAGGCACACACTGCAAGATGCTTGAAGTCCAGTGTGAAGTTCCCACAGTCTGTGTTGATTTGGGGAGCCATGTCATCTGCTGGTGTTGGTCCACTGTGCTTCATTAAGTCCAGGGTCAACACATCCGTCTACCAGGAGATTTTGGAGCATTTCATGCTTCCTTCCACAGACGAGCTTTATGGGGATGCTGACTTCATTTTCAAGCAGGACTTCGTACCTGCCCACACTGCCAAAAGCACCAAAACCTGGTTCAGTGGCCATTGGATTACTGCGCTTGATTGGCCAGCAAACTCGCCTGACCTGAACCCCATAGAGAATCTATGGGGCATTGCCAAGAGAAAGATGAGAGACATGAGACCGAACAATACAGAAGAGCTGAAGGCCATTATTGAAGCATCCTGGTCTTCCATAACACCTCAGCAGTGCCACAGGCTGACAGCTTCCATGCCACACCACACTGAGGCAGTAATTGCTGCAAAAGGGGCCCAAACCAAGTACTGAGTACATATGCATGCTTATACTTTTCAGAGGTCCGATATTGTTAACAGATAACAGATAATCAGAGTTGGAAGGGACCTTGTAGGTCATCTAGTCCAACCCCCCACCCAAGCGGGAGTCTTACACCATTTCTGACAAATGGCAGTCCAATCTCTTCTTGAAAGTCTCAAGTGATGGCGCTCCCACAACTTCCAAAGGCAAGCTGTTCCATTGGTTGGTTGTTCTCACTGTCAGAAAGTTTCTCCTTATTTCCAGGTTAAATCTCTCCTTGTTCAGTTTCCATCCATCATTCCTTGTCTGGCCTACAGGTGCTTTAGAAAATAGCTTGACCCCTTCCTCCCTATGGCAGCTCCTCAAATATTGGAAGACTGCTATCATGTCTCCCCTGGTCCTCCTCTTTACTAGACTAGCCAAGCCCAGTTCTTGCAACCATTCGTTGTATGTTTTAGCCTCTAGTCCCCTAATCATCCTGGTTGCTCTTCTCTGTACTATTTCTAGAGTCTCAACATCTTTTTAATAATGTGGTGACCAAAACTGGATGCAGTACTCTAGGTGTTGTCTTACCAAGGCTTTATAGAGTGGTATTAGTACTTCCCTTGATCTTGATCGTATCCCTCTGTGAATACAATTTAGGATTGCATTAGCTTTTTTGGCTGCTGCTGTATACTGCTGGCTCATATTTAGTTGGTTGTTCACTAAGACTCCAAGATCCCTCTCACAGTTACTGCTATTGAGCCTGGTTTCACCCAGTCTATATGTGTACTTTTGGTTTTTCTTGCCTAACTGTAGGACTTTACTTTTCTCTATATTGAATTTCATTTTATTAGATATGGCCCAGTGTTCTAGTCTGTCAAGATCCATCTGGATCTTGAGCCTATCTTCTTGGGTGTTAGCTATTCCTGCCAGCTTAGTATCATCTGCAAATTTGGTAAGTTCCCCTTCTATTCCCTCATCTAAGTCGTTAATGAAGATATTGAAGAGTACTGGGCCTAAGACAGAACCTTGTGGCACCCCACTGCTTACTTCCCTCCATGTAGACTTAGACCCATTAAGGACTACTCGTTGAGTACGGTTTGCCAGCCAGTTGCGAATCCATCTAGTGGTGGTGCTATCTATTCCACTTTTTCCTAGCTTACTAAGAAGTAGGTTGTGGTCTACTTTGTCAAATGCCTTGCTGAAATCTAAATATATTATGTCCACAGTATTCTGCTGGTCCACTAATAGTCACTGTGTTGAAGAATGAAATAAGATTGGTTTGGCATGATCTGTTTTTAACAAACCTGTGCTGACTGCTAGTTATTACTTTACTTGTTTCTAGATGTTGGCAGATCTGTTTTTTTTATTATCTTTTCCAGTATCTTCCTGGGTATTGATGTTAGGCTGATTGGTCTATAGTTTCCTGGGTCTGTTTTTTTTTCTCCTTTTTTAAAGATGGGAACCACATCAGCTCTTTTCCAGTCCTCTGGTAGTTCCCTGGTGCTCCAGGATTTTTGAAAGATATGGTGCAGTGGTTCTGAGATGACCTCCACCAGCTCCTTTAAAACTCTGGGATGTAATCCATCAGGCCCCGGTGTTTGTTTGTTTTTTTCATCAAGATCAGACAGGTGTTCTCTTACTATTTTTTTTTGCTAATTTTAACTTTTATTTCTGGTCTGTTCTATATACAATCCTGGTCTGTTCTATATACAATCCTTGTTTTATTGATTGCATGTAATATTCTAATTTTCTGACATTGTGGATTTGGAGTTTTCATGAGCTGTAAGCCATAATCATCACAATTATGACAAATCACGGCTTGAACTATCTTGCTTTGCATGTAATGAATCTATCATATTAGTTTCACCTTTTAAGTTGCATAACTGAAATAAATGAACTTTTGCACATATTTTAATTTTTTGAGTTTCACCTGTACAGGGAATTCAGCTAATCTGTAAGTACATATTATAAAGCAAAAAACAAACACAAGAAATGAACTTGGATAGGAAATAAATTAGAAAATACAACACATAAATACATAGCCAGGTTGGTCTAGTGTTTAAGGTATCAGGCTAGAGGCCAAAAGACATAGCCATGAGAGCCAGCTGGGTGACCTTGGGCCAACCACTTTCCCTCAGCCCAACCCACCTTACAGGGTTGTTGTTATGGGGAAAATAGAAGGGGGAAGATGTGTTGGAGACCTTTGCCACCTTGAGTTATTTGTAAAAAACAATAAAGGTTAAACTACAAATAAATAAACAACCAACACAAAATATCTGTGGCAGTTGAATATACAATATTTGCTGACTTGAACAGCTTCTGACATCTGATGGTTTTCTTCTCAGAAGACAGCCAGAACTATACACATGTTGGAAGCTGTTAGTGATTCATTTAGCAAAATCATTCTCCTTTTTTAATGGGAACTCTTATACTTTTGTACATAATTCAGATCTTTCAGATATATTACTTAAAAGGGGGCACAGGGGGTTTCTAAATACAAATGAGTCATGCCCTATATGAAGGATTAAAATGCAATTTCACTCATATTATTATAACAGGCTATACACACAATAAAAGGGATACACGACCCAGGGGTAAATTTCATAAAGGCTCAAAATAATGTTTGATCAAAATTACAGCGGGAAACTCAGCAAGGAAATGAATACGCAGTACAAATTGCAGGACTGATTTGAAGTAGGGGATAAAGGTTCCACAACGAAACAGAAATAGGCTTAGGCAACATTCAGCAAGAGCACATCAGTAAAAGCAAGCAGAAACAAATAGCAAATACATCTTTCCTGGATAAAATAAAACATATTCAGAGCAAGATAAGTAAAACATGACTGAAGAATAACCAGAAAAGTTCTGAAAGTAAATAACAAAAAATAATTATGAATTAGGCATGGGAAAAACATTTTCACAAATTAAAGAAATTTACTGCTTTTCAAACTTATGTACTAGACCAGGATATGTAGGATCACAATAACAATCCTACTGAGGAAATGTTCTTCTTTCTGTCTTTTCCATCAAAACATATCCTGAAACAAAGTCAAAAAGCTTACTCCACCTCCATGGGCCTAGGAAATTATTTCCCAGAATGCATCATTCTGCACCATTAACAACAACAGCAGACCCCAATTTGTCATTTTCTGGGTTGTGACAATAAAACAAGGGAGGAATGGGAAGTGGCTTAGGACACCTGTTGTAGCAAAAGTACCTAGTTTTTTTTTCTCCCTCATGAAACTTACAGCATGAAGGAAGTAACTTAAAGGTAATTTTTGCTCTTTGGAGAAAGACTGGCAACTAGATCCCCCCCCAAAAGGGGGGGGGGCACAGTGGATTTCAGGACTGAAAATACACACAATGTTTTGGGTCTATCTCCTGTACAAAGTTGGGGCTTTATTGGTTAAAATCATAACTGCTGGAGGAAGGCAGACTATCCAAAAAAAAATATTACTTGGAGCAAATGGCCAAAGCTAATATAAATAGCTGGTCCCAGAAATCGGAAGTCCTCATGACTCATTTCGGTTAGATTTAGAAGAAACTCTAATCTATTACAGAAAAAAGAAGAAAAGATCTTGCTAGATACAGACTGTTCCTTATAATTCAAGCCCACCCCTCCCCTTGGCATATCTGCTTAAAGGTCAGATGATATCAGAAACGTATTTGTTTGATATTCAGACTTTTCAGTCTTTATGATGTGTCTTGCTTTCAGAGCAAATGTTCAGCTAATTGGAAAAGACATTAAATAGGAGTTGGATTTAACCGTACTATCTTGCTCCCTTTCCTCATGAACTCTGCCTGCTCAACTCACCTAAGATCCAGAACAAGCAGAGAAATGCAAGGCCCAGAGAATGTATACATATGATCAATCAATTACAGGAACCCCTTAAAATCCAGGTGGATTGAAAATGGCCTGAAGAGGAATCAGAGCATGGCTCACAAGTGACAATTTTCAAATTCTCACCTAGTTCTCAAACACCACAGGATGATGTTCAATGCTTCACAGCAAATGTGGGGGGTGGGTGGATTATGGTATTACATCTTCTCATTGGGTTAAAGGATAAAAACCTGTCTATCTTGCTTTTTAGAGTATAGTACTTACATTCTTTTTAATAGCCTCCCACTTACAAACAAGGAAGGGATGTTTGTTCAGAACTGCATCAGTAATTCTAATGATTATTTGTTCGGGTACCGGCAAGTCTCAAGACTCTCAGAGCAGAGAAACCTTCTATTTCACTTCACCTTTCTTTAGTTCCATTTTAGGCATTTGCCCCCCTCTGGCCTTTTCTTTACATTTTTAGAAATTTCTTTTCCAAACTCATTATTCTCTAGAAACTGCCATGTTGTCATCTCAAAAAAAGACAGCAGCTTTAAAAACAAGGACAGGGGTGGATCATTTCCTAGACATGCTGGTTCAGGATAAAGCCCATTTTGGGGAACTCTCCTAGCAGTGACAGTGATGAACTCTGAAGGCTTTTCTGCATCTTCATCTGCCAGTCAGCAGAAAATTCCAATCTGGAAAATAATTGACAGCTTCCTGTATGGAGTAGAATGAAATGGGGCAAATTAAAGAGCCTGCCAGAGCTTCAGCTTTATTGAACCCGGCCAAAGGATGAAATTTTTAACAATTTAGATATCCTAGGGAACAGGATTAATAATGAAGTAAGTGCCATCTCTAATCATATTTGATTAAATGCAGAACTTAACTTAAGTCATAATGTAAGTCATCCCTGTCAGAAATGGCTTTCACACTAGAATTGTCCAATTAAATGAATATACAAACACAATGCAGTGATATTTCATTTCTAACTCTCAGGTGCCTATTTCAGGGCAGAGGAGAACTTTGAAAACTACATTGGACATTCTCTGACATAACATAGATAGAACCTATGAACTATTTTTCAAATTTGCCTCTAAAATATCGAGAAATCCCTTAGGAAATTCTATATCATCGTTTAAAGATGCTTCAGATCATCACATAAAACCATGAGAGAAAGCATGCATGATCTTCCCTCCAGTTTGTGTCTATGGAATTCAACTTAAAACATATATTTAAAATGATGAACAGTCTGCAAGATTACCATGAAGAATTTCAGTATTTTTAGTAGAGATCTCTACAGATTTCATGTGCGGATGCTGACATTTCAAGTGAAAACTTCAAATCTCATGAAAATTGGGGTATTTTAAAATTACTACTATTCCTGTTACTATTTTGATAGTGAAATAATGAATCACCTGCGGTACACATTGGAAACCATCTATCTTTTATCATCTGCGTTATCTTCTATCATCATCATCTGCATGTACCTTGGACATTTATCTCCCTAACACCTTTCACGTACAATTTTATTAAACAATATGCAAATGATTATTTTCATTTATTACGAATTCATTCTATCATGTCTCAATATTCTGGATCGTCTTCTCATGTGCGAACAACCTTTATTACAGTACCAAACTGAGTCTTCTTCTTTCCCTTTTATTTCTTTTTGACATTATAAGAGCCTAAAACTATAGGTCATCCATCCAAATCCAAAGTGAATGCAATTTACTTCCATAGACATGCAAGTAGTGTTCATACACATACACACACACACACTGTAAACATGTTGGTTAACAATCTCAATGGGACATGTGTTATTAGCTAATTCTCATTCTTTGTAGCTGGTTTTGCAATTAAAATGTAGAAATGACATTCAACACACTGTTTTTTAAGAAGCTATGCACTCCTTTTAAAGATTGGTTCTTTTAATAAACTAAATACATCATGCTGATAAACATCTCTGGTTTAATTCACCAATTGGCCTTGGGCAAGCTATCATTATCTCAATCTAGGTCCCATTCCATCCTTGGTTCCTTTGTGCACAATCTAGAATAAATAATACTGTCTAAATTTAGAGGCTTTTAGTGAAATTCTTTAAAGACTTTCATTGTTAGTAAGTGTTGGATAAGCTCTCCCCTCACAACTCCAGCTGTCCATGGCTCTCTCTTCAAAACAGAAACAAGCCTTAAATTCAGTTTATAAAGCAAGGTGGAGAAGAATTCTGGCCTTAAAGCTTATTGATGCAATTGCCCGAGGCTTTTCTAATCCCCAAAAGTTCTTTAAACCTTCCAAGAATTTCAGCCTCAGGACGCATCTCTGTCCACCTTGTAATATCTTACTGAACAGCCATCTAACTATTCTTTTTTACGCCAAAGATATTGTTACTCATTTTTTACAAGAAAGCCTTTATTTTTAGAAGAAAGCTCAAAGGCAGACACATGTTCCCTCCCTCCCCATATAAATAGAAGCTGACTTCTTAATTTATTACTAATCTATATAAAATAATCTAAATTGAGTTGATTCACCTTTTATATGCACTGGAAATTGTTTTATTGTGCCCTCTTCTCCTGTGAGTAGTTAAAAGAACACAGAAGATTTATTTTCCTCCTTCCCAGAATATCTGGCATGCAGAATGGAAAGCAGACAAAATATTGGGGAAATATTGGATTATTATCAAAGACATCTTAGAGAAAAGCAGGAAAGTAACATTTAGCACAAATGGAGTATGATAAAGGAAGAAATCAGGATGGGAGAAATGGTCTTGGAATCTATCAGAAACTTAATTTGAAATACTGTTCAAAATACCCATTGTAAATGTTGCAAATATTTTATTCAGCATAACAGAATTGCTGCTTTGAAAAACTTGTACAATCAGAGCCATATATACTTCTATAGCAAATGACACATCCATTACTTCTATTGAATCTAATGCTTATATATAGCTTTAAAAACTATTAAAGAATTTTATATTGTGAAATAATTGCTACTTTTATGTGCAATTTTACAGTCCTAGATTATAAAATGAACAAACAAATGGGTACGTACAATGAAGATCGGGGGGAGGGGGAGACAGGTAAAAGGACAGTATTTTTGGCACCAGTGTATGTGCGTGGGAGAGGGAAGCAACTGATGCATTAAAAATAGAGAGAACAGATTATCTTCTGCAATGGATCCCACTAAAAATTAGAACAGACTAACTTTCCATCCACAGCATGCACTCTTACAATTAAGTTATTTTGCTTTAGCACTAAAATAAAAATAGCATGGTCAGCAGAAAATTCTGCTATTCTTAGCTTTCCCAAACCAAAATAAAAATCCTTAATAAATGACAGGAGATTAATAAAAAGCAACTGCAGTAGCCAACAGTAGTAACTATTTGCAAAAGAATCAAATGCTGGCAGCAGAGGGCACCAAATCCCTTTTATTATTGAATAGTGTACCCCAATCATAAAAGTTTGAACTCTTAATGTAAAATTTCCTGCCCATCATCAGGCCCTATTCAGCAAGCATAAAGAATATAGAAAAATCAAGTTTCCCTATAAATGTCATTCAAAACTGGCAAGTAAGTAGGTAAGTAAGTGACTGACTGACTGATTGAGTGACTAAGTCAGCCAGCCAGCCAGTTTGAGCCAGTTTGGTCTAGTGGGCACCAGGCTAGGAGATTGTGAGTTTTAGTCCCACCCTAGGCATGAAAGTTGGCTGGGTAACTGTGGGCCAATTGTCAAGAGGCTGTGAGTTCTAGTCCCACTTTAGGCATGAAAGCCAGCTGGGTGACTTTGGCCTACTAACATTCTCTCAACCCAACCTACCTCACAAGGTTTTTGTGGGGAAAATAAGAGGAGGAGGAAGGAACATTAGTTATGTCTTCCATCCTGAGTTACAGTATTTATAAAAAAATAATAAAGGTGGAATATAAACAAATAAATGAACAAATAAGTAAAGTTACAATGTAATATGTGTTAGGGTACTGGACCAAAAATCTTGGACACTCCAGGTTCTAATTCACTTTTAAGGAAGAAAACTGTACAGTGAGTGACAGACCAACCTACCACACAGAACTGATCTCATAGGAAAATAGGATATATACTGTACATACATTCCTTCACCTATTTTATATACCTACACACACACACACACACACACACACACAATATGCCTTAATCTGTAGAGAAAAAGCAGGATATAAATCAAATAAATAGGTAAATAAAGCAGGATTTTAAAATGTGTGTTTTTGGAGGATCCAAAGGCTATTGGATTAAAATTTATTATATTTAAAACTTTCAGAAACAAACAAGCAAACAAAAATCCAGAATACTTGATAATTCCAGAAACTGAAAAAAGTAAACTCTTGTCAACTCAGAATTGGGCCAATTACTATTGATCAGATCCCTCTCTTTTCTGGAGAACAGGCAGATTATCAAGCAAGCAAGCAAGCAAAACATATATCCATAAATAATCTCCCTATGCAAGAACACTGTGGGGAGCGAAGCTTCTGCTTTCATTTGCACATTCAAAATTTCATGTTTGCATATTCAAAATACCCATGGAGTTCAGTTTTGAACAAGATCGCTTGCGGGGGGGAGGGTGATATTTACAGATGCAATGTAGTTGTACCAGCCATAGCAAGCCATAATGCAGTAAAAATGACCTATGTATCATAATGTAAGGATCCAAATCCCACTGGTTGTAATAATTGTATCCAAACATGTATTTTATCATTTCCCCCTGTAGATATCCTTATTCAGATAGCCTTAAACTAAGTACATAGGATTGACATTTTATCCACATGCAAGCCTTCTCATACCAGAGATCTTAGGAAGGCCAACCTTTTAAATTTGTTACACTTTTAATGTCTATCTGGATTCAGTGTTGAAATCCCTTTATTTTATCTTGAAGAAATCAAATTTAAAACAGATAAATCCCCTTAAAACACTTAAAATGTGGCATTGACTAAAATTAAGGCAAAATTATCAGTCTCCCGATATTACTGTTGCTCAATTCTCTGTATCATGCAGCTGCCATTACTATTTGAGAGAAAATACAAGTATAATCCTTGACAATTGAGCCAGTGATGGGATTCAATTTTTTTTACTACCAGTTCTGTGGGCATGGCTTGGTGGGCGTGGCAGGGGAAGGATACTGCAAAATCTCCAGTCAGAGGTGTTATTTGCCCGTTCTCCGAACTATTCAAAATTTCTTCTACCAGTTCTCCAGAACTGGTCAGAACCTACTGAATGCCACCTCTGGATTGAGCCCAAAATTTCTGTTGCTAAGCAAGGCATTTGTTACATGAGTTTTGCCCCAAGTTATGACTTTTCTTGCCATAGTTTAAATGAATCAGTGCAGTTGTTGAATTAGTAACCCTGTTGTTAAGTGAATCCATTGACTTTGCTTGTCAGAAGATCACATGACCCTGAAACACTGCAACCATCATAAATATGAGCCAGTTGCCAAGCGTTTGAATTTTGATCTCATTGCCAATGGGGATGCTGCAATGTTTTTCATTCATGAAAAACGGCACTGAAAAAACATTTTTTCAATGCCCTTGTAACCTCAAATAGTCACAAAATGAATAATTGTAAGTCAAGGACATGTATATACTGTATTTGTGTGTGGGTGTGCATGTGTATGTATATGAATGAACCAACTAATCTTCAGAATGTTTTAGATTCCATCTTTCCATTACAATCAACCACCCCAAACAATTACTTAGTAATTTATATAGTGAAAAAAGCCTAAATATAATTTGTGATTAAAATAAACTAGAAGTGACAAAAAAGAGGAAAAAACAACTAATTAATAAAAGGGGAAGAGAAATATTCATCAATATCAAAACAAAATTAATTATGTTCTTAGGTTTATTATTAACTCTAGACCAGAGGTGGTATTCAGCAGGTTCTGACCAGTTCTGGAGAACCGGTGGTGAAAATTTTGAGTAGTGCAGAGAACTGGCAAATACCACCTCTGACTGGCCCTGCCCCCATCTATTCTCTGCCTCCCAAGTCCCAGCTGATCGGCTGGGTCTTCTTTTGTTGCCCTGCACAGGAGAACGGAGCTAGAAAGCAGGTTAGTGGGGTGAGGAGGGAATGGGATTTTGCAGTAACCTTCCCTCAGGAGTGGAGAGGGAATGGAGATTTTGCATTATCCTTCCACTGCCATGCCCACCAAGCCACACCACGCCCACCATGCCAAGCCCACAGAACTGGTAGAAAAAATATTTAAATCCCACCATTTGTTCTATATCACCTAGAATCATTTAATTTCTCCCTCACATTTTTCAAACATAAAGATTTTTCAAAAATAATCTCAGGAGGATAATTTTAAGATTAAAATTTGTATGACCTCTATTAAGTGTTTGGGTTCATATCTTTCTTGAAATACATCACAATATAATGAATTAAGTCTGTCTACATCTATAGGTGGCATTTCAGTAGACAAAACTGAATGGCTAAAAGTGAAGGCTAAATTCTCTGAAGTAAGATTAATGTTATCCAAATAAATATTACAGTGAGACTAATGTATATTTTAAGAAGGATTCTGTTGTTAATCCCTATTAGATAACCTATCAGTTTTATTCCAACACTTACTGTGTGTTCTTTGGGAACAAAAACTTTAATGAATATTCCCCACTTTGCACATACTTGGAGAGTATACGTCAAGTTTTCATGTCTAGTATACTTAACAAGGATCTTTATTTCTACCTTAGGAAGCTGCCAATCATAGCTGATCAGTAATAGGTAAGTGA